GATATCTCCGATTTAAAGAAAAGTTTGCAACTGCACCCTAGCTGGCAAAACTGAAATGAGCTGCAGTGCAAGCAGCGATGAACTCTAACAACGATCGGTGCCATGGTGGCGCTAGGAAAACAGGATGTGGGCGTATAATGGAAGACAGAAAAAACAGCGCAACACCCGTACGCCCCATTAATAACAATTGAAAACATTTTTAATTGGACATTAATGGGTTGCTAGTCATGTATCGTTTCCGTGACTTCATGTTTATGGTTATTAAAAGCCGGCATGTTAATAACCTCCATCATGCCGTTCACAATCTTAAGACGGACCATTGCCTGGCAGTCACTTTTCAGAGTTTTCCTGCGCTTTATTAATAACCAACACATAGTTCTGCTAAAGAAACGAAACATGCAATACTATTTACAACAGCAAAACTTCATTTAAACTATCCACTCCATCCATCGTGCCCAGGATAGATGCTGCGTTTCCGCGCTGAATCTCCAGCGATAGTCGTTGACGCCAAAATTCATGCGTGCGTCGCTCTCCTGTGTGCTGTTGCAATCTCTTTCCCAATTCTTTCACAATAGCGATAGCCGCCGGCCCCCAAGGTCCCATCGTCTCAAATGCGATCGGGGAAAAGATGTAGCGTTCCACCAGATACTCGTACAGTCTGGAGTTTCTATCTTCTGCTTGCCCTGCAGCAGCACCTGCCGCAACCGAAGTTGACTTTATGTAAGAAAGGGCCATTGTGTCGACACACGTCACATCCCACGCCAAACACATTCGTCTTTTCCAAGCAAACGTACAACCGTCAGGGCGTTGGTCCGCAGTGTAGGGCGTACCGCGTGGTTCAAGCTTAGCGGGAACGCCGGCAGAAACATAAGCCCGGCATATGATGTTGTTCAATCCTCCGTGGCGCGCGTGTTTACCGGCAGAGTAGTTGCACGATAAGCCGTGGTGTCCTAACTTATCAACGTGCTTCTGACATTTGGTGCAGTTATGCGGTTCGCAAATATCCGCTCCAAGACGCAGGCCAATTGAGATTTTGATAGTCTCGTCGTCAAGGAGGTTGCCGATGTGGGCGGATGGAAGTGCATTCAACCAAATACCGGCTTCGGGTCGGGACTGCGCAAGAAAGCAGGCTGTATTTACGACGTCACCGCGAAACAAATCCAATAAAACAGAGACCGACACATTACAAAGCGGTAAATCCCATGTCTTTTGGAGCTTTCTGAACCCAGCTTCAGGAACTTTTGTTAAATGGGCCTTAGTTTTCCACAACTCCACTGCTTCCGAGGCGTTCACTGCTGGAAGATGAAGCAGTATCGACAATAGCAAATCAGATACAGAGTTAATCGAAGCCAAATAGGCTGAGAGTGCTAATTCCTCCGCACGACGAATGCCGATACCTCTTCGACTTACCGGAAGAGTCGCTTGTCGCCAGCAAGGGTAGTCGTCATGGTTTACCCGAACATTACTGAGTTCTTGAAAACATAATCGCAGTGTCTCGTCGATTTGATAAAGCAATTTAGGATGTTTCCAGGCATTACAACATCTCAGCACATAAATTATCTTCGGGGCGCCCAAACAGTAGTGCATTTGCGTTTCTTACTTGTATGTGTACAAATCACGCATACATCTATACAAGTAGGCAAAAGTAGGCCGGGCCAGCCAATGGCAATTGCGAAAACGTCTTAGTTGTATGTATGTATGCGTGATTTGTACACCTACAAGTTGCAGCGCTAATGCACTAGTATCTGAGAAGATACAGAGCATGGTGGCGGGGAAGGAGTTGCAGCCTTTCACAGGCTCTGTTTATGGCGCTTGACTTCTCAGCGAAAGTTTCACCAATCGCGTCATCCAGGACCGGGGCGCCTAGCAGGGTTAAAGTTGAGCTGGACATAACACGAAGTTGTGGGTGGTGCAAAACAAAATCGTCAGCCACTTCCTGCCGTTCTTCCTCAGTGCCCCCCGATATAAATAGTTCACATTTGGACTCGTTTATATCCAGGCCGATGGCATGGGCGCCTTCAATAACCCGTCTGAAGTTTTCCGCTACTGACGCCGGCGCTCCGCCCGGGGTTTCGTCGTCAAGATACCAGGCGTTAGGTTCTGTGTTCAGCGTGGCAATTACGCGAAGCAAGGCCAGGCAAAATAGCAGCGGGCCCAACGGGTCGCCTTGTTGTACCCCAGACTCAGACGACAGCACTGTTTGATCAATGAACAAAGAAGAATGATGCCCATACGCCGACCAAAAGAATTCATCGTATTCAGAAAAGCGTTTATGCACAGCATCCAAAACCACTTCACGGGATACAGTATTGAAGGCATTGCGAAAGTCAATCTTTAGCAGTGCTTTAATGCTCTCCGGTTCAGACCGAAAGAAATGTCTGGTTGCGTGGACGATGGCCTCGGCTCCACCCCGAACGTTGAAACCAGACTGTTGAGGAGTAAGCAAAGCGGTAGCCCGGTCCGCTATTCTGCTACAGATGATTTTGGCCAGCAGACGACGCAACGACAGTCCTGCCGCTATGGGGCGCAGTCAGCCGTCTTTCTTGCGCAACGCCAGTAGTCGACCTCCAAAGAAAATCGGCCGTATATCAGCGGGTACTTTACCTTGTAACACCAGTGTCGGTACAGAGGCAGTGGCTTCGCAAAAGGGTCTGCTATGGTCAACTAGCTTGGAACCCACCAAGTCTAGCAGGTGTTGGGGCCTTAAACCATCTGGTCCCGCGGCTGAACCCCGCGGGAATGTGTGGATAGCGGCAAAAACTTCTGCAGCGGTTATTGCAGGCGCAGCGGGAGCAGAGTTAGCTTGGCGAGCCGTAGACGGTGGGGTGCATACGGGATGTTTCTGGCGCAAGCTTTGAAGAACTTCTGGTGTGCAATCCGTCACTGAATCTGTGGACAACAAAACTCGCATTGCTCCGGATATGGATCCATCGTCGATTTTCTGCCCGACCTGGCGAACGAGATCCTATTTGCTGCTGCGTTTTTTCCGACTGGGCGGAGGGGGGCTGGGAGGTAGAACCGCACCTTGTTCGTATAACGCAAGGTTTTTCTTCACTGCTGTAGCAAGTGAAGCTGCTCGCTCGGATTTGACCTTAGCTGGGAGGCGTAGGGCATTGGGGCAGAAAAAGTGCAACTTCGTCCACCATTGGCTGTCATTCTTGGAGGCGAACGGTTGGACCACTTTCTGTAGCGCGGATCTCACAGCCGGTCTTGCCCCGTGAGGAATACGCCGCAGTATTCGCTCTTTATGTGGGTAAAAAGATGTGGGCGCAGGTGTGGTAGGTACAGCTCCTCCCGGGTTGCCCAAAGTGGAAGCGGCGGTGGCGGCCGGGATCAACTTCAGTTCCTGCGACAGAGTTTTAGGGCAAATGGGTCTGTGAGATCCCCAGGCCTGCAACAGTTTACCGCAGCCAGAACACGAATACTGAGGCATAGTGATGGGTGCGTTATCCGATAAGTGACACAATTTGAGGAACCAGTATTGGAGAACTTACGAGAAATCTGCTGGTGTGTCGCTGGATGTCTACGGGACAGCTGCCACCACACAGCCTCTGTAGAACAGCAATCTACCAGACTAGGTCCCGTAGCCACCCTCCATACTGAATGACGGGAAATTTGTCATTAAGGGGCAAAAATCACGAGCCCGATCGCAGTAAAATCATTAGCTGAGGTCCTTCTTCAGTTCATCCGCTCCTGTATTGCAAACGATGAAGGATTTATTAAAAATCAATGCCTCGTTTGTCATCTATCCAGCAGTGCAGTTACATATTATTAAGCTGGTAAACATCTATGGTAAACAGTTACATATTATTAAGCTGCAAGACTTGGTACTACTTCAGTAAACTCTGATGGGTTTTTCCGGCTTTTCAGAGTCGTCGTTATGCTTTTCTTCGTGGGGACTGAATTCAACCGGTGTGGGCGGTAAGCGCCAGCTTTTTTGCAGACCAGCTTCGCTGAGCTGTAGGGGAACGTGTCATGAAGCGGATGCGTTTTTGAAGTTTTCCCATTGCTGCCGGGATTTATAAAGATTTGGTGTGTTCGCTGGCTCCATTGCCCCACCGCTCTCAAAACCTCCGCCTAGGTTTCAAAACGATTTCCAACTTTAAGTTCTGACGCCATAGCGGCTGATAGTCGTGAATATTTGATTTATCAAAAAAAGTAAAATGCCGGTACGGTCAGATTTTGTGTTTCTTGCACTAAAAGGTGACCTTCTGTAATTATTGGTTGCCATGTGGTGATAAATATACTGATTTAAACTGTTTTTGGTAGTTTTTTTGTGCGGGGAAAAACTCTCGCGCGTAGCCAAAACTCATAGCGCGGGTGGCTCTCGCGCGTAGCCATTTCGAATAAAAAACCCTAAGAACTTAAAAACCTAAACAAACTGTAATGTATGGCGTCACGAGATTTCCATATTGCCCATGGCAACGTGCTATAAGATTGTCTCGTCTTATTATTATTGCTGTTGTTGTCCTTTGTTTGTTGTATTCAGTTCACGATGAAATAAAGAGCAGATCGCTTTTCCACGTCGTGACACAAACCTACAACAACAAAAAAACCTAAGAAAATTAAAAATCTACTAAACCAAAATGGTCCAAATCCGACTTAAGAAGCCCGAGTTTGGAAGTCCGAACTAAGAAGTCCAAGTTCAAAAGTTTGAGTGTGGTCGAAGTCCAAGTTTTAGTAGTCCAACTCAAAGTCCGAGCTTGAGCGCGGGCCTGCTACCTGCTGCAAAATCTGCTTTACTTCATATCCTGTATCCTTAATGAAAGCACGACTAAAGTCAACTAAACAACAATAAACAACAATTATTGAAGTCAAACACTTTTGATGCACGGCGAAGTTTCGTTGGGCACAATAATCGCTTTGGGGTATGTTGCTTGTAGGCTTTTCTTACGCAGTGCAGTTTCCCGGCTCTAGACCTAGCGGCTCTGCTTGGGTATGTAATTCAATTGCTCTTACCTAAGATAAACTGGAGGCTGTTGTTGTCATACAGTATAAATTTGACACAGCGGTCCGCGTCAACAGCAGAAAGGTAGCTTTTGAATTTGCTTTTACATTTACAAAGCGTACGTAAGCCGTTTTCCGAAACGTAAGGTAAAATGAAGTTCCTTGTGTATGGTGCTGATGGCTGGATAGGGGGACTGATTGCCGACATCCTGCGCAACGCAGGAGACAAAGTATTCAAAGGAAGTCGTGTATTATCCATTGATGACGTACTTCTCGATCTGAAAACAACCGAGCCGCATTATGTTATCTGCAGCTTGGGTCGAACGTGGGGACCTGGTTACAATTCTATTGATTACCTGGAGCAGCCTGGCAAACTACCCGAAAACATTTTTGCGAATCTCACTGCACCCGTTTTGATCGCCCAGGCATCGGCGGCGCATCGTACTCCATCGTCGGTTCCCGTTCTTTACATAGGATCGGGTTGCATTTTTGAATATGACGACGAACATCCTCAAAAGAGCAACAAGTGCTTCACGGAAGCGGAGCCACCAAACTTCGTTGGATCTTCTTATTCCGTGGTGAAAGGTCAAACGGATTTAATAATGAAAAATTTTTCGCATGTGCTGAGCGCAAGAATCAGGATGCCAATTACTGAACAAAGCTCATCCAGGGACTTCATTACCAAGGTTCTGGGATATGAAAGAATAATATCCTCACCAAATTCCGTCTCCGTACTACCAGATATTCTACCTTTTCTTGTTGCATGTCTTCTTGACGGAAAACGTGGAACCATCAATGCAGTGAACCCCGGAGTTATTGAGCACGAAGAGATCGTACATATGTATGAGCAGATATCAAATCGGCCGCACAAATACTCACTAATGACCATAGAACAACAAAACAAGCTTTTGTTGGCCCAAAGATCAAATAACTGTTTGAGTACGGAGCTATTCGATCAATGGTTTGCTGAACTCCCTAAGCATTTGAAAGCGAAATACAAAGTTCCGGAAAAGCTGGCACCGGCAAAAGAGAGAATTCGACGCATCATTGCAATACGGGAATCTAAAGGTGTCGACACAGTGAATTCAAAAGTCATTTTGGTAACAGGTGGATGTGGGTTTATTGGGTCAAATTTCATCAACTATTGGAGCAAGCAATATCCAGACGATATCATAGTGAATCTTGATTCTTTGCAGTTCAGCTCCAACCCCAAGAACATTGAAAACCCTGGCCATTTTAAATACCACTTTATTTATGGAAGTTTACTGGATGCTCCATTGGTTTCAAAACTTTTTCAAGATTTTGCATTTACACACGTAGTTCATTTTGCTGCAGCCAGCAATGTGGACCAGTCGTTCAGCCATCCGATGGATTGCACCAGTTCAAACGTTTTGGGCACCCATGTACTTCTGGAAGTTGTTCGTAAATGCAAAACCTTGCAGATTCTGGTGTATATTTCCACTGACGAAGTTTACGGTGAAATTGTGCAGGGATCAAGCTCAGAAACGTTTCCCTTTCTTCCAACTAACCCGTATGCGGCAAGTAAAGCATCTGCCGAATGTCTCGTGATGTCTTATGGTAAATCGTATAACATACCATACATCATCACCAGGTGCAATAATGTCTACGGGCCTTATCAATACCCTGCTCAAGCAATACCGAAGTTTGCTCTTCTTATTTTAAAGCAGCGCAAAATGCCAGTTCATGGGTCTGGACAGGCCGTAAGACGTTTTTTGCACGTCTTTGACAAATGTCGTGCACTTGATCTTATAATTGAAAAAGGTCAAATTGGAGAGATTTACAACATTGGGACGCAAGACGAGGTGTCTATATTGCAAATTTGTTCATTGTTACTGCAGGAAGTCTTCAAAAAGGATGTGCACCTGCAAGATTGGATTGTTCATGTACCAGACAGGCCATATAATGACTGCCGATACGCAGTTGACTTTTCGAAGCTGAAAGCGTTGGGATGGGAACAGAGCATTGACTTCAAGGACGGATTTTCCGACACAGTAAATTGGTATAAGAACAACCAAGATCACTGGGGATCGAACGGACATTTGGACGAAGCCTTCCGAACATCGGACCACATTTTCTAATGCAGTTTTAGTTAAGCAGTAAATGGGTAAATGGTGGATAACAAACGAGTAAGATCGCGTCTTTTTGCCTCAGGCCATGAAAACGGATTTCTTGGAAAACCACATTTCTGAATCAAATAGCGTGCCACCGCATTTGGATTACAATTGAGGTGTCGTAAACATTTAGGCACTGCTTGTCGCCGCTTTTAAATTGCAGAGGTTCGCATTATTGGTAAGATCATGTTTGAAAACAATTAAAACAAAAGCAGTCCCCTTGTCAGAATTGTGATATAATCATATAGTTTATTGATAGCTTTTGAATCAAATGCAGATATTAGAGACCATATAATAACCCATCGATTTATACCAAAATGACCGATTTCAATATGAGTAATCGATGTAAAATATATATTTATTCTCGTATATAACAGCGAGCTTGTTTTAAAGCACAGCGGCGATGACATTAATAGCAAAAACACAATCCGTTACACATTTTTCCCGCAAAAAACAATATTTCATGGAAAAATACGCTTTTAGCAGCTCAGAATAAAATCAGTAAAAAGGTGTGTAACGGAGGGACGCTCCGCCCTCCTGAGTAGCTATTCGCTGTTTCTGGGGATTTCCACCCCGCACATTGCTGCGCTGTTTTGACGGATCTGCAGCACAGTTGCACTGGCTGCAGAATCCTTCCTTGTTAGTCTGGTGTTTGCTGCGCCACGGTGCGCATTAGATTCGGCAATAAAGCCTCATCCGGGTTCACCGCTGTTTCGCTGTCGAGGATACGCGTGGCGCCCATACGGCCCCGCGTTATAGGTGAGATGCGGCATTCAATTTTAAATTTTGGATGTTGACATCCACGCGTTTCACAGCGATACTGCTTTCCGGAAACCGACGAAACAGGGCATTCATTCACTGAAAAGAAGGAGATGCTTCATGATTATCTTTTTTCAAACAAGTACGAAATAGAGAATTCGATCTGGTTGCCGACGAAGTGATGGTTGTTCAATACCGCACCAAAAGAGACTACATGTACATTGCAACAAGTCGCAAGACGAACGTTGTTATTGCGGCCTTTACTACAGCCTGTGCGCGGTTACATCTGTTGAAATTCATGGAAATGGTCAGAGAACGACTGTTGTATCACGATACTGATGAACTGTTGCACTGCTGTTGTTACAAGTGCATTTCATTGGTACGCATGTCTTTTGGATTTACAGACAGCATTTTATACGTTCACAAGGATGATTTGCCTGATCCACCAACCGGGACCTGTCTGGGTCATTTGTCGTCATCTTTAGGACCTGCTGAACACATTGATGAATTTGTGGCAATAAGAAGATTTAGTGCACTGTTAGCAGTTTCCAAAATGATTGGCCGGGGCGCACCGAAGGTCTTCCTATTTGAGCTCCAATGCTCTGCTTAACTTCTGTCCGTTACGGAAGCTCTTATCAGGACGTCATCGCGGTCAGTCGGATGACGTCATGGCTCTGTATTGCAGCTTTGTAATGCTTAACTTGTTTCCGTTGCGAAAGCTCAGGATCACACTCCCGGTATCAAACTCCATCAGCGACAGCCAAAAATTCCGACAGGAGCCGACCATATAGCACAAAAATAGGGGAAAAAAGCGGACCATGTCCAGAAGGGAGAAATGGCTGTGACTTTCTCCATCAACAATAATATGCGAAACATTTTTAATAGGGCTGACACTTTTACTAAGGCTTTTTTAATAATCTTGACCTTCGCTGCGCTTCGGTCAACTAATTCCGGAAATAATGTAGTAATGTCCCCCATATCGGACACTACTACTTTCGTTCCAGCAACAATGTCCCCCATGCCGGACACCTTATTTCGTTCCGGCAATGATGTCCTTCATGCCGGATATCAATAATTGCATTCCAGCGATAATGTCCCCTTGGTGACCATGGCCCCTCAGTTCTTTTTGACCGTTAACGTAGTGGTAGCGGTGGTACCAGCGGTAGCGGTGGTACCAGTGGTAGCGGTGGCGTTAACGTAGTGGTAGCAGTTTTTCATAGGCACCGATTCACCTTAAAATCAGCTTTTCGTTGTAGGTCCGCCATGCCGCCGTTAACCCTTCCTCCATTCTGGCGAAAGGGTTAACGTTTTGGTGGTGGTGGCAGGGGGGACACAGCAAAAATGTCCGGGTGGACAGGGGGTGGGGGGGCATTTTTACTGGTCACACATGTTGAACGATATGAGTGATAAAAATACAGAGAATGGTTGTCATGTGTTAGAAGCTTTGTTATAGCAACACGGAAATGGATAAACTACTGGCGACGGTGTGTTGATAATGATATCTCAGACCCTTGTCACCCAGGATCAACAGACCCCAGTGGTCAAACCACTGCAAGTAAAACTCACTGGAATTACACCGGAATTACTTACTGGAATTAAAAGTGGCGCGAAAAAGAAGAGTTTCAGGACCGCTTAGCTACCGGCTAAAGAAGAAAGTGTCCTTCACGGAAGAGACAGAAGGATGGGGAACACCTAGAACGTGGCGGCGATACATGGTGCATGTACGAAACAGTCCTACTCGACGATTGGATTACCAAAGAACTGATTTCGAATTGCGTCTTTGTGGGCCAAAGAAATCCGAAAAGCGATGGTACAACTACTGAAGAAGAGACGGTACAAGGACCGTATGAACTGTCTTTATCACCGTTCAAAGTGGCACAAATGATGAGAGATAAATGAAGCCGAAGTTATCGCGCATCAACCAAAGAAAAAGGCCGAATTAGAGGTCGTCTCAGTAGATCGCTTGAAGCACTGGGATCCACCTTTACCAACTACCGAAAATGAATTACCGGATAAAGCGTCAGAGCGTGGCCGTCAAAGTGATGTGTGGCCTCAAAGGTCACCGGTCCTAAACAAGGAGGAAGACAGAAGGGCACGCCCTCTGCTACTTGAAACAGCGAAAGAGGAAAGCGAAGAGATCCGAAATAGAAAAAGGAAGACCTTGGAAAGAGTAAAAGGATTTTGAAACGGTAGTAACAGTTAAACTGAACTAACTAGGGAAGTGCACCGCTGCAGGCTAGCACTAAAAGACCGAAGCGAAGCTAGAAATTTCCGTAAGATTGTCCATTCTGAACAAAATCTAATCACGTGTTACGAATTTTGGTCATAGTTTAGATTTACATATTTTTAGTTAACATTAAAATCCGCTGCCTGTATTTTGCAGTCAGAATGGTTTGCCAACAGCCTCAGAACGAAAGTTTACAGTAGAGCATTTCAGGGAAGAAGATCGACAAATATTTCACAGATAAAACAGGTCCACGTACAGAGCTCAAACAGAGAAAAATTATCAAGTTAGTTTAGTTTAGGTACAATAATTATTGTACTTCTTCATAAGGAGTTTGCAGAAAAATACTTATACTAATTACTTAACTATGGAGTACAACTTAACTATGGGGTACTTTTAAAATCATAAATCTTATTCCGCCCGTAAATAAACATATTGACCCATTTGAGTGAAGTATGCCGGTCGCTGATACTAAATTTCGTACACAAAACATTTAGTTTCTTTTCTCAGAAAAGATTTTTTGGCACCAAAATTCTCCCTTTCAACTTTCCACCCGACACTCTTTTATCATTGCTGACCCACGTTTTTATCAGATGTCATCATTCGACTAAGTGAACCAAGTGAATCAAAATATTATGCTAACTTTGGCAATGTGTGATTCGGAAAAAATTTGCAAAAATATAGTTGTGTATAGGTTAACAGCACCTGGCAAAGCCTAGCAAAAATTATGCTCTTTAAGGTACAATCAGTAGCCTAATGCCGTAGCAAAAGTTTCGCTCATGCAATTCTAAGCATAAGAGACACTAATTAATCACTACAGTAAAACAATCAATAAGCAAAGTCAATAAATCACAACGATTTTCATAAAAAAAAATCACCAAGAACTGGAAACGGGCCGCCTACAATGTAAAAAAAACCGGTTTTCCACTTTTACAGAATTCGAAAATCCCAAATTTTTACAATTCTGCTTTGTTTTAGTAATCACAGAGCAGTGAAAGACACACATACTTTTCAAAATATGTGGGCAAAACCGTCTTCCTGCTGCTGCCGCCACCCGACTGGAATTTTACGTTGCGGCTCAACATGGTGATTATGTACCGCGCCAGATTTTACCATATGTACTGCCATAAATTTAACCATATGTACTCACATTCGAGCCGGGCAGCGGCAGCAGCGCCGGGAACCGGTTTTCACCCCTGTATAGGTTCACACAAATATAAGGTTTCTGCTGTAACTTAGGGCGTGAGCAGCGTGACCGACGGACAGATTACTGCGTGACCGACATGACCGACAAAAATTCCTGTTATCTTGAACATAGAGGACCTTCGCTTCGCTTCGGTCGACAAGCTGGAAATTTAACAAAAGTGAAAAATGAAAAAAGGTCACGGCGTGATGCTGCTATAGACGTAGAGAATGACCTTTCCAGGAACCGACAGAATGGTTTTATCGTAGCCAAATATCATTCGAAACAAAGTTCCGAACGACTCACTGCTACCATTAACGATCATGGCTTGACAAGAACGCAACAAATCGAAGCGATATATACGAAAGCCGATAAACCGAACCGCGAAACAGCTGACGCTATTGAGCAACGTGAGGTCCAGAAGGTGAAACCGACTCCCACGGATATGTCGTCTCAGAAAGGTGAAATCAAAAACGCCGCTGACAAGGAACTCTGTAATCGGATACTGTGTTGTCGAGTCAACTTGGCACTTTTTCATGCAATGAGTGATATGCTAATCAGATACGACTCACTGTACAAAAAGGTATAAAAGTTGACTCGACAACCCAGTAACTAAAGGACGCGAAAATATTAACCCGAAAATTAGATTCAACTGTGTTCAGTAGTACTTAAACAGTTCTAAGATTCAATCGCTATTTCGGACGTTAGTAAAGCGACGCAGAGAAAATGGGTTTAGAAATGCATGACATATGAAATTTTTGTCTCCCGGTAAATGACATCCAAAAATCTACGGTTTTTAGTGTGGTAACATTACCAACAATACCTTCCAATTAAGTCGGGACGATACTGAGCACGCTCCCACTTCTGAAGATTGCTTTTAATTTCCGGCCACTGCGGATTGCAAGTAAAGGTGATGAACATGTCCGGCTTTCCGTACCTCCTGACAATAGACATTGCATCCTGGTAGTTCTGTTGCACATTACTTCCGATGAATGTTGATAGCAGAACAACTTCTTTTCCAGCAGCCACGTTGTTGTCGGCCGCAATGCTGTTTATAGGATCCAGCAGTTCCGCATACGATTCAGTTCGCAGGTGTTTTTGATTCATCCGAATAAACTGCAAACGGCAACCTTCTACCTTCACGTAGGCATCAACAATATGTATTGTAACGGAGGGACGCTCCGCCCTCCTGAGTAGCTATTCGCTGTTTCTGGGGATTTCCAACCCGCACATTGCTGCGCTGTTTTGACGGATCTGCAGCACAGTTTCACTGGCTGCAGGATCCTTCCTTGTTAGTCTGGTGTTTGCTGCGCCACGGTGCGCATTAGATTCGGCAATAAAGCCTCATCCGGGTTCACCGCTGTTTCGCTGTCGAGGATACGCGTGGCGTCCATACGGCCCCGCGTTATAGTATACTGCAGAAAAAGTTTTTCCCGACGCATGCAGCAAACTAAAAATAGGGCGCACAGCAAAAAGATATGAGTAGAACTGCAGCTGTGCGACATGAACGCGGGGCTGTCCTGTGCTGTGGATCGTGCGCTATTTCTGGATGCCAGCCGAATTCTCCTCTCGGAAATAGAAGCGGATACACCATGGGGTCACAATGTGGACTAAGCGGTGATATCCGAGACCGGAGGCCCTCTTTAGGATATATCACAATATCGCGGTCAGCGGGCGGCTCACCGTTAGGTGCAATAAATACTAGGAAAGTGCACCGCTGTTCGCTAGCACTGAAAGACCGAAGCGAAGCTAGCACTATATAGAGAAATATCTAGAATTGAATTAAACCTAACCACGGTAAGAATTGTGAAGAACTGAGCAATTATTCCTTTTAGTGACTGTACTGTGTGTAACAATGAATGGTAGAAGACTGCATAGGAGATACTTCAATAGATGCATTAAAGATACGATCATACGAGTATTTTATGAGATGATTTATGACATTTACGAACGAATTATATATGCTTAATTAAAACAGCTGGCGCAGGTGGTCTAGTTTTCTTTTCTTTTGAGCGGTAGTAATTTTCTGCTTACTAAACTGCAGAAGATTCAAGGAAAAAACTGGCTTTATCGCCAATCAACCCCATGTTAGCATGCGGGAAAAGCCGACATACAGCCCTGCTCCACCACGCGCGGGCGGTTGTACAAAATTAATCTAAAAAACTTTTGTGTTTTTTTAGGTTTTCCTCTTCAAACTTTGGTGTTGGTAACTGTTGAAGGGGCAATTAAGAGGAAAGGGTAGGGGTCATTTTTTACCATGCGTATACCTGAAACTATACAACCTGCACCCAGCAATATCTTCGTGTGAGCTTTTAGGGAAACTCTTAAATGATTCTAGAGGTGTACGGTAGGGGTTAGCAAAAAAACTTCTTGCCCGAACTGTGCTCGAGGTGACCGAAGAACGTGTTGGTCCCATAGACTTGCGTGTTAAACGGTATTCAATTTTGGATTATGGCAGCAACAGAGTATATAAGTAGCCATGGAAGAAGAGTTGCTTTCTTTAAGGTCTCCTCTAGTTTTGATCCCACCGTAATTTCAAGCACGCTTTCAGCGTGAAAAAATGTAAATACAGGAGATTTTGGACATAATATACGGTATTCGTGTGCAAATTAAAGGTTTGTTAATTTGCCGACAGGGGACCTATGGCAACTTCTGGGAGAGACTGCCCGTGTTTGGTCACTTTGGTGGAGCAGGGCTGTAGATAAGTCGATTTAGAGAAGCCGACATAGTTTATATACGTAAAGTGCTATAAATAAGCAAGTACTGTGTAGTGTGTATTATAGAACATACTTTAATTATACGTAAAATGATATATCACAATATCGCGGTCAGCAGGCGGCTCACCGTTAGGTGCAAT